AGAAAAATGGAAAAACAATTTTGTGAAAAAATTCAAAATTGTTCCATTTTGCAGGTTTCAAATTGGAATAATTTTCCATTTTTGTGATCCCCCCCGAAAAAAATGTTGAAATTTTATTTGCTTTTATTTTTAACAAAACAACTCTTTCTGTCGAAGGAGGCAGTAAAATGAATTATATTCAGGGTTGGGCTTTTTTGTTGGTTTTCTGTTTCTTGAAAGACAATTGCTTGCTCCACAGGTGATTTCAAAATTCTCTCTTGTCCTCATTGCTAATATCAACCTGCAGTTTAAACGCCTGTTCAGCTTGCAAAAACATATGACTGATTGAATGAATCTGTGAAAGCAGGCAAAGGCGCATCGTGGTATGTTTTGTACCTGCTGAAAAGTCACCTCATTTTTCTTTCAGGTTTACCTAGATCATTGAAAGATGTCTTCTGATCAGCAACAGTGTAAGCAGACCTGCCCACCTCCTCCAAAATGCCAGGAGAAATGCCCTCCGCCATGCAAGGAGCCCGTCAAGACTCCGAAATGCCAGGAGAAATGCCCTCCGCCATCCAAGGAGCCCAAATGCCCCCCTCCAAAGCAGTCCCAAGACTGGAAGCAGTGCTAACATCCTCTGAGCTACCGCAATGAAACAAAAAGCAAAAGACAAGCACAGACCACAGATGAGTCTCCTCTCTCATGACTCGCTTAGCTCGTGTTCTCATCCGAAGAAGCATTTCTTTCAAAGCTCTGCCCTGTTCTGCTAAACCTTTCATTCGTATCCCGAGACTTGCAATGAGCTGATGAGATACACCATACAGCCTGGAGAGATGTACTCCTCGCTTGTACTCAATGGGCATCCGGCATTGCAGACAAGTCATTATCCTCTTCTCCATCCGATTGTTAATTGCGGACGTGCAACAATAAAATTTCAATTAAGATCATTATCTGTCTCCTGCTCTTCCTTTTATTTTTTCTCTGTTCCCCATTCCCGCCACTTCTCTGAGATCTTGTTCCACATATGAGCATAGTAATTTCCAGACTGGATGAGACACCGAGTCCCTTAGCCCAGATCCTGCCTTCAACAGTGGCCAACCCCACAGTGGGCAGATGTGGGATCATTTGCCCCGGCCCCATCCCCTGTGAATGGTCTCACCCTGATCTCTAACACCTTGAGACTGGCTTAAAGCCTGCAGCTTCTTTCTCTTGAAAAGAACCTTCATTGTTAAGGCCAACGTAGGTTGAACAAACAAAGAAAGAGGAATATTGAGTTCTTGGCTCACTTACAATCAATGTTAACAAGAAAAAAAGTCATCCATTTTCTGATAAAGCAATACAATGGTTTTGCTGGTTTTTTTAAATAATACAGAGGTTGTCTGTTTTCCAAATTCTCCATGGAATTTTTTAATCTATTTCCCCCCCCCCGCTTTTTAAAATGAGTAGTTTTGGACAATGATTTTTTTTCAATTTGGCAAGAAATCCCCCCTTATTGAAGATGACCAGTCAAACTCTTCAATACAAAAACCAATGTAGAACTCCAGAACAAACAAAGACTAAAAAAATGTTTTCACCAAAAGTCTCCACTGAGAATTAATTTTACAAACAACCCAATATTTGGGAAAAAATCAAAATCCTGCCATCCAAGTTCTAAGGGCCCCTTTGGACTGTTAGGTTAGCCAGAGATTGCCGGAGCACAATGCACTCTATGCGTGGTCAGAGCAGCGCCCTCTGCCATGCCTAGCTCTTTCATTAGGGAATGGGTCAATGGGAAGGGTTTGCATTAGAGGTCCAGCATTGCTTCACCTTCTAAAACAGGAGTGGGCAAACTATGGCCCGCGGGCCGAATCTGGCCCACCAGCCATTTTTATCCGGCCCTCGAGCTTCCTCTGGGAAGTGGGGTCTGAGGCTTGCTCTGCTCCGGCGCTCCAGCTGGGGAGCAGGGTCTCGGGGACCGCTCCATGCGGCTCCTGGAAGCAGCGGCATGGCTCCCTCCAGCTCCTATGCGTGGGGCAGCCAGTGGGTTCTCCTCTGCACACTGCCTCCATCCCAAGCACCGCCCCCACAGCTCCCATTGGCTGGGAACTGTGGCCAATAGGAACTGCAGGGGCGGTGCCTGCGGATGGGGCAGCATGCAGAGCTGCCTGGCCGCGCCTCTGCATAGGAGCTGGAGCAGGGACATGCCGCTTCTTCCGGGAGTTGCTTGAGGTAAGCACCACCTGGATCCTGCACCACTGAGCCTAACTCTGTGCTCCAACCCCCGGCCCCAAACTGATCCCCCTCCCACCCTCCAAACCAGAGCTGGCTCCAGGCACCAGCCCACCAAGCTTGTTCTTGGGGCGGCACCTGGAGGGGGGCGGCGCGGTGCCGCCCTCCCCGCAGCGCTCTGGCCGCCGGGGAGAGCGGAGCCCTGACCGGGGCTCCGGCCGCCCTCCCTTGCCGCGCTGGGGAGGGGGGGGCCCGCCGGAGGCTTTTTTTCCCTGGGGCGGCAAAAAAGCCAGAGACGGCCCTGCTCCAAACCCCTCGGTCCCAGCCTGGAGCACCCTCCTACACGCCAAGCCCCTCATCCCCAGTCCAACCCAGAGTCCATATCCCCAGCCGGAGCCTGCACCCCTTTGTGCACCCCAACCCCCTGCCCCAGCCCTGATCCCCCTCCCGCCCTCCAAACCCCTCGGTCCCAGCCCGGAGCACCCTCCTACACCCTAAACTCCTTATCCCCAGCCCCATCCCAGAGCCTGCACCCCCAGCTGGAGCCTTCATTCCCCACCTCCCGCACCCTGAACTCCTCATTTCTGGCCCCACCAAGGAGCCCGCACCCCAAACCAGAGTCCTCACCCCCTCCTGCACCCCTACCCCAATTTTGTGAGCACTCATGGCGAGCCATACAATTCCAGATGTGGCCCTGTGGCCAAAGAAGTTTGCTCACCCCTGTTCTAGAAGAAGCTTTGGTTGGTTTTACTGCAACGATGCAAGGGGACCTTCAGAAGTGACTGAATGTTTTGCATTTGTCCACTTAATTTAGGAATGGATTTTCCAAAGTCCTGAATAATCAGGTAGGAATTATTGCAGCAGGATAATACTTGCAGGAGTGTCAACAATTTGGGTGAAAAAGATTGTGTTTCTGGGAGTTTTCATCTACAGATCTCAAAGCACAAAGGAAAGTAAGAATCATTCATCTTTTTTTTTTGCAGACAGGGAAACTGAGGCAAAGAGCCAGGAGGTGACTTGCCCAAGGCCACCCAGTAGAGTCAGGAAGAGATCCCAGGTCGCCTGACTCCCCGTCCTGTGCCCAAGTTACTGGACCAGGCTGTGCAGGTCTTTTGTAATCACACCTACAAATAAAGAAAGTTGCTAAACACAGGGCTAACTAATCTCGATGGGTGTTTAACTACAAAAGAGACACGGTTGGCTTTTCAGCCCTCGGCAGCCTATTGCTGGATGGGGCAGGACTCCGAAATTTGCTGAAATGTCTTAATGTTTTTGTGGAGTTGGGAAGCCTGCCAATGGCTGTGTAAACGGACTAGGGTTACCAGGCGGCCGGTTTTGGAGAGGAACGCCCGGTCGAAAAGGGACCCTGGTGGCTCCGGTCAGCACTGCCTGCCCTAGCTCCACACAGCCACCCGGTCCCTGCAGCCCCTAGACGCATGGGTGGCCAGGGAGGCTCTGGGGACGGAGCCTCGGAGAAGGGGCAGGGCAGGGGCGGGGCATCTGGCAGGGGTGTTCAGTCTTGTGCGATTAGAAAGTTGGCAACCCTACAACTGACTGATATTCCCTCAGTGCTAGCAGCATCTATTTTTAGGTAGAGAATGGGGGGAGAAATTGTGGGCCAGCTGAGGCATAATCTTTGTGATCACCACAGGTAGGCTAGCAATTGGTATTGTCCAGTCCCTAAGAGGGAATCCTTCCAAACAGATTCTCCGTTGACCTGCACGTTTTCACCACTGCAAAGTGAGTGTAACCAGGCGACCAGTCTGGTTTGTCCATTTTTCATTCCCCTTTGGCACTAGTGTGACTGTATGAGCTGACGGAGGATCCGGTGAATCAGCTCCTTATTAATGTAACATGCCCTTCGTTCTGTTGATGATGAACTCATTAATTCAGCAGGCAAAGGGAGTGTCTTTCTAGGCTTGAATTCACTCACACGTCACAGGGCTCAATGCTGCGATGACTGGGGGAAATCCCTGGTCTGCGCTATGCAAAATGCCAGTCCACATGATCCGGACTGCCCCTTCTAGCCTTAAAAATCTGTGCATCCTGAGAGTCCTCTGGCACTTCAAAATCAATCAGGATTTCAAGATTCACTTCTTTTCCTATTTCTTTAAAGATTTTGTAGGTAGAATTATTTTAACAAAGGGCCTGGCCATAAACGATTATGGTTTTTTGTTTTTGTTTTATTGTTGAAATTCACAGTGAAAGCAATTATGGCTACAACACCAGCAACATACACAGGATGATTACAGATAAGTACAGAATACATCAACAGTATCATTGTTACAGTGTCTGGTCACATACCGCCAAGGTTTTAACTCCTACAGTAGAGTGTAGACATGTCATGCATCATTCTGCACAATTAATCAATGGAAGCCATGCACTGAGGTTGCGTTTTTCTGGAATGAGCATGGGTTAGACACAGTAATCAAGGTCTTTCCCCTAACTGCTTCCAGGTGGAGTTGTTGTTCTGGTGTCTTGGAACAGCTGATATAACCTCTTGGTGGACAAATGGCTCACTAAAGTTGTGGGGCATCGTTTTAATGGAGAGGACTCGCAATTCAGTAAAGTAGCTATCAAATGGGACTAGAGATCATTAAAGGAATCTTTATTCTGGTGTCATTTCCAATAGATGAGAAATTTAGGACCGTGACTTTGTAATGATTGGAAAATCCTCTGTTCTAGTCCACGGCATTATTATATTTCTATTGTGGTAAAACCTGGGAGCCTCAGCCATGGATCAGGACCCCCTGGCGCTAGGCACTGTACAAACACAGAACTAAAAGCCTGTCTCTGCCCCAAGGAGCTTACAGTCTAAGTATATAACAAAGGACAGCACATGGATACAGACAGACTGATGGGGGAGCAGAAGAAAACAATGAGACAGTACCAGTCATCATGATGGACAGTGGTCCTAGCTCCCCTGCCACCTAACTGTTGTCAAGTTAAGTTTGAACCTCAGCGGAGGCAGTCCTGGTTCCAACCTCCCTCAGCATCACCTACTTTAGCTCTGTGAGGATCAATAGAACTAGGAGAGAAGAATGCTATTAGATCTTCAAAGCATGTTTTATACAAGTTCTATCTGAAGTACCTTTTTCTAGCAGTGCATACAAAAAAAAGTCAGAAACACCATGTCACTTATTAGCAGAACTATCGTATCGAGCCATAGAATTAACACATGGGTGGGAAGCTGTGCATCTGAACAGAATACCCTTAAAGAAATGAGGGGATGAGGCAAAATGACCAACGAGAAGCCACAGGAATCGGTGCCATGAGTTTGCACTCTGCTTTTCGTTCCATGACGCTCATTGTTTTTTGCAGGTTATTTCCAATTGGGTGGCAACTGGCATTGCTGCTTGCATTGTTGCTGTTCAATGGGTGGGCACGTCTTCACACAAGGTGGGCATTTCACTGGCTCAGGGCATGGAGGAGTAACTGGGACCGGTGGCTCCTTGCATGGTGGGTTCTCTGGACAAGGTCTTGGCTTAGGGCATGGAGGAGTAACGGGGGCTGGTGGTTCCTTGCATGGCGGCTTCTCTGGAGAACAAGGTATTGGCTCAGGGCATGGAGTAGGAACTGGGACTGGTGGCAACTTGCACTGTTGCTTCTGTTGAGGACATGGTATTGGCTCAGGGTGTGGAAGAGGAACTGGGACTTTTGGTTCCTTGCATGGCGGCTTCTCTGGACAATGAGGTATTGGCTCAGGGTGTGGAAGAGGATGTGGGAATGGGGGTTCCTTGCATGGCGGCTTCTCTGGACAATGAGGTATTAGCTCAGGGTGTGGAAGAGGAACTGGGACTTTTGGTTCCTTGCATGGTGGCTTCTCTGGACAATGAGGTATTGGCTCAGGGTGTGGAAGAGGAACTGGGACCGGTGGCAACTTGCACTGTTGCTTGTGTTGAGGACATGGTATTGGCTCAGGGTGTGGAAGAGGATGTGGGAATGGGGGTTCCTTGCATGGTGGCTTCTCTGGAGAACATGGTATTGGCTTAGGACATGGAGGAGTAACGGGGGCTGGTGGTTGCTTGCATGGCGACTTGTCTGGACAATAAGGTATTGGCTCAGGGTGTGGAAGAGGAACTGGGACTTTTGGTTCCTTGCATGGCGGCTTCTCTGGACAATGAGGTATTGGCTCAGGGTGTGGAAGAGGATGTGGGAATGGGGGCTCCTTGCATGGTGGCTTCTCTGGAGAACATGGTATTGGCTCAGGGTGTGGAAGAGGAACTGGGACTGGTGGCAACTTGCACTGTTGCTTCTGTTGAGGACATGGTATTGGCTCAGGGCATGGAGTAGGAATTGGGACTGGTGGTTCCTTGCATGGTGGCTTCACTGGACAACATGGTATTGGCTCAGGGCATTTCACCGGCTCTGGACACGGCACCATTTCTGGGCATTTTTCCTTACAGAGTGCCGGCGGCAGGGTGATGCCTTGCTTGCATTGCTGCTGGTCTTGGTGAAGAGACATCTTTGTTGCAATACAGGATAATCTAAAAGAAGCACCAGAGTGTATTAACACATGCTATGTAAATGCAATAAGAATAGGGACCAACCTTCCAGTAGTTTGGGAGACTCTAATAATCTGTTAAAATGCCCTTGTCTTTATTCTCTCTTCCGCCTTTTGATGCCAACCCATCACTTACTTCACCCACTTCCTTCTTTTCATCCTGCCTTCTGATTCCTACTCTCACTCTGTCCTCTCGTTTTCCCTTCTCTCTGTTCTGTGCTTCCTGGACAAGCCTCTTCCAGCTCCCACTACAAACTCCTTCAAACTGCAGCTGATTTCAATGTTTCAAATGAAATTGCCTTTTTCCTCGCTCGCTCCTCCTCCCAGTGAACTCAGGACCCCACTCTTTTCAATATCCTTCTGTGTCTATTCATGTCCCTTTTGCTTAACCGAAGCCCAGGTGAAAGGAGGACCAGTAAAGAAACCAGGGCAAAATATTCCCCCAAAGAAATTGCTAGTACACTCTAATACTGACTTTCTCAATGGTGAATACATGGAGCCTGATTCTCCTCTTACTCTACGTTTACATCAGTGTCACTTTATTGGTGCCCCCTTTGGATTTCAGATGCTGCAACTGAAAGGAGAATAACACCAATGGTATTTACAAGCGGTTGTGCAAAGAATTAGTAAGAACAAGCATGATGTCAGTGGTGCGCGCACCCACAGTAACATACGCCGGCAGTGACTTCTAAAAGGGATGGAGAATTGTATGGCCACTAATAACACATGCAGCTGGAACAAGCTAAATCGAATGCACTCCCACGCAGTGCTTCAAGGAGCAAGGCATACCCTGGTCAAATCAGACTAGAAGGAAGTTCTCCTAGTGCTGCAATACACAACTGCACAGATGAATTATGGGAGATTTCCTGCTACCTAAGAAGCATCAAGTACCTTCCACCAACAGAGGTTGGGGTCCAATAAAAGATATGACCTCACCCTGCTTATCCTGGGACCAACACGTCTACAACAACGTTGCAAATAACTACAAACTTGGATGAATCTGTTGTCTGCTCCAATGGCAAATCCTATCTTCTTATATTTCTACGAACAATCTAAGCATACCAAGGAAAGTTTCACATATGTAGCTCCAGATATTTTAACATTTAGAGCCAAATCCAAGTGGAGTTAGCTAAGCATATATTTATATTTAACCTCCTCTCTCTGTGCTGCCACCCAATTCAATCCTGAGTTGAATTAAGATTCTAAAATTTCCCCCAATGGACAGGACACCAGCCTGTGATAACCTTAGCTCCAAAGTAAAGCATAAAGAATCTGTAAGATAAGACTTACCCAACTGCCCAAGAAGAAGGAACCTGCAGAAGTCAAATGGATAGTGGAGCTCTGAGGTGAGAAGACTTTTATATGGTTTCCAAGCCCTGCCTTTTGGATATGAGACAATCCACATGAATGATGAGCTCACTCATTCCCACCCACAAGACTCACGTATTTTCTCAACTGACCTGTTTCTGGATTGACCTTGGTAGGAAACGCCCTCATGTTCTGATGAGTGTTGTATAATTTATTCTAATCTCCTCCCTGAGTAATCTGAAGGGCAAAAGTTACAAAAGTGATAAAAATAAGTGATAAAAGGGGAGACGCCCCCCCACCAGCATCAGCACAGCTCCATTGAAATCAATGGGCCAGATCTTCAGTTAGTTTACATTGACATAGCTTCATTGGAGTTCATTCTGGGGGCTGATTTGGACCTCACCTTCCCTGGGCCAGTTGCCAGTGAATTCCTTGAAGTCACTCCTGATTTGGCACTAGCATAAGTGAGAGGAGGATCTGACCTTGGTCTTCCAAGATTGGTTCAAGAAATTGAAGAGTTTGAGATGTTGAAAAGTCGAGCTAAAATGCAGCAGGATGGATTGGATGTCATATCAGATGAAAAGGTTTGTGGTTAAGTTACTGGACTGGGAGTCATGTCTCCTGGGTTCATTCCTACCAAAGGAGCTCCTGGGTTCTGCCAAAGACTCGCTGTATGACCTTGGGCATGTCACTTCATCTTTCCATTCCTCAGTTTCCCCATCTGTAAAATGTGGGCAGTAGTACTTCTCTGTTTCACAACAGTGGGGCGAGGCTAAGGTCATTCATGTCCATGAGTTGGTCAAATGTTATGGTGCTGATGGAGCATATAAATACCTAGATAGAAAGGAAATCTCTAAACCCATGTGGGTGTCTATCACCTTTCACCTTAGAAAAGGGGGGAGAGTTCTATCTGTGGGGATGAGACATTTTTAGAACCTAAAATATAATTTTCTATTTTTATAAAATAGAAACGTCTTTTCTATTCATGTCAGATGTTCTTGTGTCACAGTGATGGACCTTCCCGTGTTGTCCCCCATTACCTAAAAAAATCTGCCTCTCTATGCAATCCACTTGTCTTTCTATCCAGTCAGTGTTTATAAAATAGTGATATGGGTGCTGACAGGCGAGATTCTGCTCTCATTTGCAGGGGTGTAAATCCATTCCACTGATGGCAAGACAGTGGCTCCATACAGCCACAAGTGAGGAGCAGACTTTGTCTCTGATTTGGAGGGGTTAAGCATCGGCAAGGGTCATAGAGCTTATCATGCCCATGTGCTGACAGCTTGCTGGTTTGAGTGTTCACCAGGCAGATGCTTTGAAAATTGTTGCAATCCAAAGGACCTCCGTGACCATAAGGGCTTACAACATGGAGCACAGCAGAACTGGTCAGCATTTTTCCGCCAAAATGTTTTATCTATGGACAATAGCGTCTTGACATTAATGGAAATGTTCACTGCAAAATTTCAATTTCTCGTAACAAAATAAGATTTGTTACAAAAATTTCAAGGAAGGTTTTTGATGAAAATGAAACTTTGTTCATTTGCACGACAATATTTTGCAGGGGTAGAGGAGAAAAGGGACCATTATCTCCCTATCTGCTCTAGAGAACAGGGATGAATTTCACCATAGCTGATTGTCTTGCAATAATCACTTTCTTCAGGCTTAGTGATTTGATTTGTAGGCTCCTATCAGGGCTGTAATGCCTTTCTGGAGCAACTCCATGTGCTAACGACGCAATGAGAGCATTGAGGCATTCTTGGGGCATGTGATGGGAATGGCAGTTTCTAGCTATGTTGCAATTTCCTCTTTTTAATCCTTGTTTCTCTGTTTGTGGGTGGGACACCGGCTGATGGTGTTGGTGCAACTTCTTGTCTTATTTCATCTGCAGGTGGGGCCCTGGCGTTGTCCCTGTCCCAGCTGGGCTTGGGAGATGTTTGCTTTGTCTCCCAACCTCTGATCTAAAGGGGTGGAATTCAGAAGGTCAGTTCAAGACCTCTGTGCCATTTAAGTCCTATGGAGCAGTTCTTCAGCTGGCTGAAAATGTCACAACACCACTGACGTCAAGAGCTATGACAATTTATACCAGCCGAGCAGTGGCCTTTATAGGTTTATTTCTGGAATCATGGCTCATCATCAACAAGAATCCTTTTAGCTTCACCTGGGGCTTGCTTATGGAAAATCTTTCTTCAAAACAGAGATGCTGGAAAATGTTCAAACCCAAAGTAAACCCAAGTTGTTGTTTTTTCCTGAGCATCTAACCAGTTCTGCTTTGGGTGTCAAATTGCCAGCAGTAAACTCTAATGTCTCCTGGTTAAGAAAAAGCAGTTTTCATAGCAAGAAAGGACATGATCTGGGGCTATGAGCAACAGGTTGAGCACTGGGGGCCTGCTTTGACAGTGTGCCTTTGGCAAATGCGAGTGTTTGGTGGTGGTAGCGGCCTGTGATATACAGGAGGTCAGACTACAAGAACTGGTGTCCTTCTGGCCGTCAACTCTATGTCGCTACGTCACTGACCCTTTGTGTGCCTTAATTTCTCCACCTGTAAATCAAGAATTTTATGCTGCCTTCTCCTAGAGCAGGTTGTGAGCAGAGCTGGTTGAAAAATGGTGACAAATTTTTCTGAAAACTTTTCAGGCATTTTCATGAAAAGATTTTCTCAGAATTAAAAAAAAAAAGTGGCCAACTCTACATAGTGTGGCAGAGCTCTGACCTTGTCCCCGCGGGTCCTGCGCTTCTAGGCGGTCTATGCTAGCCTCAGTGGCTCTCTGTGACTCTCCACGTAGCCCTTCTCTCTCTAGGGCCAGGGTTACAGTCTACTGAGCCCTTTTCATCATAAGCCAGCAAGGAGGTTGGTGAGAGAACTCCCACAGTCTCTGTTGTCCCTAGGGGCTTGTTTTAGAACAGTTTAGCCTCCTGTCCTGACAGGGGCCTGACTTTCCGTCCCAGGAGGCGTTCCTGTAGTGCTGGGTTGGGGGGAACCCGGGCCCACCCTCTACTCCGGGTTCCGGCCCAGGGACCCTAATGGTAGCAGCTGTTGGCAGCCAACCTTTCACTGCCACAGTTGCTATATTTCCCTGGGCCACTTCCCCACAGCTCTCCTGCTTCTCCCTTACCTTAGGGCTCCCTTATCAATAACTTGAGGGTGTCTTCATTAACCAGCCCTTCAGCCACACGTCCTCTCCTCTGCCTGACTGGAGTGAGCCCTTTTTATAGTATCAGTGGGGCCTTAATTAGAGTCCGGTGGTCACCTTAGCTTAATGGCCTCACCAGACTCTTTGCAGGTTAATTGGAGACAGGTGGTCTATTAGCCTGGAGCAGCCCCTGCTCTGGTCAGTCAGGGAACAGAAAACTGTTAATCCAGTGGCCAGTATATCTCCCTTCTGCTATTCTGCTGTTCCCAACTGGCCTGGGTCTATCACAGAAACAACACCTTTTTGGGGTTACAATTTTGGAAAATGTTGACCCGTTCAAGTTGTGAGTCTTAATTAATTATTTATGGTTTTGTGACATGCTTTGATGATAAACAGTAACATCAGAATAAATAAGAAACAAATATAAATGCTTTTCTCTCTCTCGTGACTTACTTTACCTCCTGGTCTCTTTTCCCCTTAGACAAAATACTTTCCTATAAAGGTATAAATACTTTGTCCTTATCTGCGAATTGTATTAATAAAACTTGACAGCTATTTTTTGAGACAAATACTATATGCGGTGAAACTTGTCTTAATCAAGTATTCAAGGAGCTGTGAAAAATGGGTAGTTTAGTAAAGGAGACTTCCTAAAGAAGTCAATCCCTCAATTCATCTGGGGATAGTTTGTGGTTACCTGTTAAGAATGGGGCTTGATTCTGTTTTCAATTTACATCAGTTTCATGCCAGTGTAATTCCATTGAATTCAATTCTGGGTTACACTGGTGACTACAGAATAGATCCTGGAAGTTGCCTACTGAGAGGTAATCTCTTTACTATAATTATTATTTATTATTTGTGTAGTGGTAACACCTGGAGACCAGGGCCCCATTGTGCGAGGAACTGTAAAAACCCCAAAGAGTTTACAATCTAAATAGACAAGGCAGACAAAGGTCGGGAGATTTATCAGAGATTAAAATATTTTGTCCAAGTTCACACAGGAAGCCCGTGGCAGAGTCACGCATTCTACCCCATCCTCTAAAACCTAATTATGGACTTAGCCACAAGTTCACCCTTCCTCTCATATGCAGGTGATGGTGCAGCTTGTCACTTTTTCCCCTCTGTGACAGAGGACATTGTGGTTTTTCAGAGTACTCCCATGCGTTTTGTGTGTCATCAAGCACCTGACACTCACAGAGCTAATACAAACATGCCTGGAAACTGGAATGGCTTCTCCAGACCAACGCCTTGCTCTGCAATGTGCCTTGAGCTGGCTTCGTAACTCAGTGAGATAATTTCCACCCCTGAATAACTTCATTTGTTCTGTGGGAGGCTTCATGCTGGGACAATTGTATCTTCTGGTTTTTTGCTCCAGTAGTGACTTAACACTGAGACATCAACACTTAACAATAGCTGTTTCTGGTGCCTCCTTCATCTGCCTTCTCTTGTTCCTCATCCCTTGTCATTCACCTCCCTGACCCACGCTAGGAAACAATCCTTTTCAGGTGCCAATGCTTCATTCAATCCATGGCGATAGACCCAAGCTGCAGAGTCATTTGGACTCTCACCAATCCCTGTGGAAATTGATGGGCTTCAGTGTAGACCTGAGATCCCATTCCAGCCCCTACGGAAATCAGAGAATTTGAATTTGGAGACTCTAGTTACTGAATTATGCCAAGATGCAAGTCTTAAAACTGTGGGCCAGGTTCTCAGCTGGTATAAATCAGCCTAGCTCATTGAATCCCATGACGGATCTGGCTTTGTATCTATCACGATCTCCTTCCTGGTCCAACTGGGCCCTTTTTGGCACTCATCCTGCTATGAATAGACAAGACAAGACTCTATGACAAAATGCTACATCGTGTTGATACTATCGTCAATTCAGATCTGAAATGTCCTATTGAAGGATC